GTTTAAAACTTATGGCTAAAACTACATTTTATATCTTTTGCACTGTTTTGCACTACAAGAAAGAAGCCTAATACTTGATTTGTTTTTTATTTAAAAACTCTCTGGACCTAGTAGTGGAATTTTCTTAATTCAAATTAAATTATGGCAAAAGGACACCCTATGCTTTTGTAATTTCCTATTGCAAGTTTTATACCAAAAACATATTGTGATATATATCGTTATCGCCTCTCTTCACAATACATATCGTGTTATGAATTTTTTTACCATATTGCATATTCCTAGTCTTGGATTTGCTGCCCTGTGTCTATCAAGTGACAAAGCTCACAGTGATGATGGATGATAGGCTGATGTCTATTTTATTTAATGCCATGCGATATACCCAAACTACCTTTGCGATTGACCGGTAGATCGTGATCGACGTATTGGGCACCCTTGAATTAGACTGTTCAGTTTTTTAAAGTGTAGTTTATTAGCATTTTAAGTGGTTATCAGTGCATCAATTAATTATGTGCATTTGTAAATTGTAAAATATATTGGAGTGTTATGTTTAGATGTTAAATGTTGCTATAATTTTAGAGAAGAGACTTCCATCATCTCTACTCCATTAGAAGCTTGTTGTATTATCATGCCACCATTAGTACTAGAGGGATTTCAGTTGCACAGATTATTTGCTTGACCTCTCTGCCAGGGCTGTTTTTCACTTTCAAAATATCAATGTCCATCATCAGCTTTGGAGAGGAGGATTATAAAGATGTTTTCATATGACTCGTGTTTTGGATCTCTGTTGATTAATATTTTAATTTGTTTCAAAGGAGCGCCTTCCCTACGTGACCCAAACAAACTGAATTTAATTTGACAGTATAGCTTTTTAAAATAGATCTACTTGAAAGAGCTGTTGAAAAAGTAGGTCAGCGGTTTGTGTTGGAGGCATGGTCACTCTGACAGCTTATTTAAGTTATTTGTTGGTTTAATTTACATTAAAATAGATTGAAAACTGCAGCCGTACTGAAATATTACACAAGCTGGCATTTAAAGTCCTCTTGTTTGTGACAGATTGAACTTAAAACATTTGCACGTTTTCAGCCTTGAGTTACCGCAACACTGTTTTTCTCAAACATAATGCTGGCTAGTGTGTTTTAAAAAAAATTATATAGCTTAAAAAAATTCTTAACTTCTTTTTAATACTCCTTTTAAACCAAACTGAAACATAATAACTTAACACATGTGCTGTAGTTTTACATTTCAGACCAGTTCAAAGCCATCTGACAAACTATTCATGTTTGGTATGAGGTCACTGTTGCATTCTCTTTAATGCAGTGCACTTTGTATTCAAATGATTAGAAATAATTGTGGTTTTATCAGGAAGTGAAATGAAGTACTAATGTCAACATGAGTGCACATAAACATACAGAGGGCCTCATTCCCCTGCAGGGACTTAGCAACATCAGTGTGTCTGCACGCTACTCCAAGCTGGGTAATTTTCTTCTCTTTGTTACAAAATGACCATCATTTATCTCCTTCTTTCATCTTTAGATAGACATGGCTGTTGGTAATAATTCACAGGAGTGTCTCATTCAAATAAGATCTTAGGAAACTGTGCTGCATTTAAATAAACTGGTTCTCTTCTATTAGTTTCTTCCTTTGGTTTGTTCAAGTTCAAGGTTCTTTATTGTCATTTGCATCGCATGTGGCACATGTAAGTTGCATTGCATTCTAGTAAATGATAAATTTAAATGTCTTAAAAAAATAACACCTTGTTTTTTTAAATGGTGGTAATCGGTAGATGGTGGCATGAAAAAGACCACATGTTTACAGTAGAAAATTCATAAATATGAAGCATACATCTGAAAAACCCAATTACAAACTTTTAAACTTGGTGTAGAAAGCTTTTTCCACTTTGCTTTTTCAACTCTGAATAAAATGTGCATTACAAAGATGGATGTAAAGGCATTAAATGCAGTGATTTTTTTAAATTTTATATTTTAACTGATTAATTTTATTTAGTGTAGCATTTAGTTCTCCACCATTAATCTCCATGGAGATGTCAGAGGCCTGTTTGTGCTTTGTGTTGCAGCACAGTGGCTGCTCAGCTGCTCGGCCATGATTAATTCAGACAGACCTCTGGAGAAAAAAGCTGGGCAGGGTTACCCAGCTAGAGATCTAGTGTCTAGCTGGCATTTATATGTTATAGATGCTGAACTCTCACTGGCTGTGGTCAAAGTTACAGTAAACATTAAATTTTTTTTCATCTGTTTTGGAATTGAAGTGATGAAAAAAAACAAACAAAACAAAAACTAAAGTTTCAAAGACTTAATGTGTTGTTACATCCTTGAGCATTTTCATAAGATTCTCGCCTATTGTGAGCAACAGGTTTCAACAACAGAAATAATTTGAGTTTTTTTTGCTTTTTAATAACTGCAGTTTGTTGTTTCAGCTGCTACCTGTTTTATCTCTGTGCTTGTGTGAGGTGTATGTGCTTGATGTAGTAAACGATGACTACAGGTAGTTGTGATGGACACACTACTGATCAACATGTAGTTAGTTAGCAAAAAGTGCCACCCCTCAAAAATTCCTGCCCCATTTCAGCCTTCTCAAAAACTTGAGTAGGAGGCTAATGCTAGGCTGCAGTCATTTGCAACATAAACACATAGATGTTCTGTGGCTGTGAAAATGTTGAACGCAGACTGTTTAAACATTGATCACGGATGAACATGTCTTACCGTCATCACAGGCCTGAAAAGAGAGAACATTTGTGTTAAATAGGACACATAGTGTGTCATTTTAGTTTTTAATATTGTTTAACATTAGAATATCACTTTTACTGTAAACATCCATCCATCCATTATCTTTGACCCGCTTCTTTCATTTTGGGTCACGGGGGTCGTCAGTGCCCATGTCCAGCAATCACTGTGCGAGGGGCGGGGTACACCCTGGACAGGTCTCCAGTCCATCACAGGGACACATTGAGACAAACAACCATTCACTCTCTCACTCACACTTAGGGACAATTTAGAGTTACCAATCAGCCTAACATGCATGTTTTTGGTTTGTGGGAGGAAACTGGAGTACCCGGAGAAAACTCACGCATGCACGGAGAGAACATGCAAACTCCACTCAGAAAGGCCCCCAGACCGGGGTTTGAACCGGGGACCTTTTCACTGAGAAGCGGCAGCTCTACCAGTTGCGCCACTGTGCTGCCCTTTATTGTAAACAATTATCTTGAAATGTAATTTTTTTTAAATTACACTTGTTTTATTTACTAAGGATGCATGATATTATTGGCATGCCATGGTATCTGTATCGGTCGATATTAGGGGTGGAGAGGATATCTGTATTGGTATCGGTTATCGGGCAAATACATTTGAACATATCGGCATATCGGATATCGGCCAAAAATCCAATATCGTGCATCCCTATTATTTACATAATGACTTTAATTGCTGGATGTCTGACCCCTGTTGGCTTTCAGAAACTGTGGCCCCCTGAGCAGTTTAGTTGAATAGTCCTGATCTACAGCATGTTGCAGAGTACATGTCATTCCAGAGCAGATAAGGTAAAGTCAAGTGCAGGAAAATGAATAAATGACAAGCCCCATATTTATTTTGTTTGTTTTAAACTCTGCCCTCCACATAATTTATAGATGTTGGAATTTCTACTCTATTAAAACCTTTACTGGCACTCCATATTTCAGTGTTGATTTGTACTTATCCTTCATCTTGAAGTATGAATCTTTAAAACTCTGAACATTTGAAAGTTGCAAAACAAAATGACTATATTTTCAGGGGTTTCTTCATGATAGCCTGAGTTGACTGCATTTGTAGCAAATACTGGTATGATGGTTCTACATGTTAACACATTGTAAGTTAAATTCATATAAAACTGCAGCAAGAGAAATAAAATGAGCCTTATGAATTCAATCTGAGGTAAATATAGCATTGGTGTTTTCATGTAGCATGGGAGAATAAATGTATGGCTGGTCAGAGTAAAGATAGGAGAGGTTAACTGTGTAATCCTAATGCTACCTTCTCCCCTATCCTTAAGATTCAGAAGCTTCATTTACTTTAAAATCTTTCACCCACTCATTTTAAAAGAACATTTACTATTTATTGCATCAAATCATATTGTTTTCATCCTGAGCCATGCTAATAGCTTGAGGCAAATGTCACATGTTTATTTTTTTATTTTTTGTCAGGTCACACTTAATTGATTCTGAACATGACAGCTTCTTTTGGCAAAATTAGTTTGATATGAACATTGCTATTTTCTTTATCTCTTTCTATTAGGCAGGGTTCAATAATAAAATTGTCATCAGGACTATTATAAAGATACAAATGATGACATTTATGGCTCATACATTTTTCTGCAGACACACAGAACATCATTTCTTTGCTATGAGATAACCATTCAACCCCGCTGCCCTTGAATAGGCTTCAGCTGGAAATCTAGAGGGTGACTAATGTCACATTTGTTTTCTCAGAGCAGGACATAAAACCTTTTAAGAGAATAGCTGATATCATGTTTAAATTGTAAAAAAAGTGTGTGAAATGGAAAATGATGTTTAGGTATCGGCACAAGGTTCACCTCGCAGCAACTTTTGCATTCTCTCAAATACTAACTTTAAATAAATCAAAGCATCTGGCGTGTCAGATGCTGTTAGTATTCCACAGCCACCTGCAGGAACAACAGACCTCTAAAATGTCTTCTACATGTTTGTGTCTGTCAGTATGTCTTTGTTACTTTGACATGACTGCTTGTGTTGAGGTTATTTCTATAAACGAGTTGATTTCTCAGCCTTAAAGGTAGGCTGACAGTTGCTTCCCTGACCTTTTGATATGTTGTCATCAAACCATTGTTCTTGATAAGTTTCTACACGGTTACATTAGCGTCTATTAATAATTAGCATTACATGTAAAGACAATTTGAATTTCATTGCCATTATGTCTCCTTCTCATCCAACCACACTGTCTTTTTTTGTTCTTGTTCTTGTTTTTGTTCTCCAGCTGGTTGGTGGTCAGTTCGACCTTGAGATGAACTTCATCATCCAGGAGCCGGAGAGCATTGTGTGCATGGTGGAGCTCTTGGAGAAGTGTGAGCCAAATTGTCAAGCCGAGATTTGGAGCATCTTCACGGCCATCCTCAAGAAAAGCGTTCGTAACCTGCAGGCATGCACTGAAGTGGGGCTCATCCAGCAGGTGCTCCAGCGTATATCGGCAGCTGACAGCATGATTGCAGGTACTGGGATCAGTCTCATGTAGAAAATGTGCAATAAAAAAACATTAATTGTTGAGTGTGTGAAATGGTGCTACAAACATACTGTTTTATAGCCAAATTATTACCAAAATGTATCCAATTTATCCATCTATACTTTTGTCCAATTATTCATTTGACTGCTGAGTTAACGTTATGGTTACAGCATCAGTAGGTAGAGTAGCCTAGAGCTGTCATTTCTAAACTGGATCTGCGCCTGGCCTGACCCGGAATTCGGGCCGGGTCAAAATAATGCGCTTGATGGGCCGACCGTGTCAAGTCTTGGGCTGTGGTGCGGTTTTATAAATCATACATCACAAGGAAAACTAAATAAGAATGCACAATATAAAACTGTGTTAATCTACTTGTTGAGGAGGAGGCAGGTCTGACTGACCGGTTGAAAGAGGTAAAAAAAATAAATAAATAAAAAGTCCAGTTAAGCTCAGATGGATCAGCTGATCACCGGCCGTGCGCGTCTCCGCACCTGCTGTCATCTGCGGTGAAGGAAGCATCAGCATCTACAAAAGCCTGCACGAGCAGCGCATTCAATTAAAATAGCCTTGTTCTATATTTTTCCCAAATAATTTTGCTCTAAAAATATTTTTGTTCATCTGTATAGTAGCCTATCTTTAGAGTAGATTATTTTTTTAGGCTATTCATTTTTTATGTTAATATTCATTTGGTGAAACAAGAAATCTTATATCTTCCTTTCTTTGAAATATATGTTTTTAAAATATGTCAAACTGATTTGCTTACAAAAGCAGTAAAAGCTTAATTAAAATTTTTTTTAATAATACATTTTATTTGTATAGTGCTTTTCTAAATACTCAAAGACGCTTTACATGAGTAAAAAATAAAAAGTAAAATCAACAATGCATAACACATAAAAACACAGTAAAACATTTAAAAAGGGCAAACTTAAACATTAAAAGCAAATTTAAACGGGTAAGTTTTGAGTTCTTTCTTAAAAGTGGAGAGATTGGAGCAGACATGATGCTGTTGGGGCAGTGAGTTCCAGAGGGTGGGGGCAGCGATGGAGAAGGCTTTGTCTCCCCTGGTTCAGAGCTTGGTCCTACAGGGGAGAAACAGAAGGCTGGCATAGGAGGAGTGGAGGGAATGAGAAGGGGTGAAGTGATGGAGTAGGTGGGTCAGGTATGGAGGGGCCAGATTATGGAGGGGCCAGATTATGGAGGGGCCAGA